GGGGCAAATTGACTTTAAAATTGTCTTGGTTAGCAACAGAAATTTGGGGCTCAGTTGTGGTCGTAAGTCGAGGACTACTGTATTTACAACGGTTGCAGAATCCAGGCAGGGGTCACATGATTGCCATTTGTAACCGTGCAGGGGTTGGCTTCAAAATTTTTCACAACCGGCTCTGTGGGCGTTGCTTAGGTGGTGGGCGTGGCTTGGTGGTCATGTGACTGGGTGGGCGTGGTTTGGTGGTCATGTTATAGGCTGGGCGTGGCCAACTCAACATCATTCACATCAAGGCATGCATCTCCTCGCCTGGCCTCTTGTGACTATGGGGATGCTGCAACAGTCGTAAGTCTGAAAAACGGTCATAAGTCACTTTTTTTCAATGGTCACTCCACACAAGCAAAGTACCAGCAAAGGAGGGGAAAAAAAACTCCAGAGAAGTTTCTGAGACAGGAAGTCTAGTCCTGCCAAGAATGTAAAAAGGGTGAACGGAGAGGCAGTTTCTGTAAGCAACACCAGAATGTTTCCTTCCTGCCTTCCTTACAGGATTAGGCCAGTAATTTCTTCTAACAACCGGTTCTCCGAACTGCTTAGAATGTTAACAACCGGTTCTAGCGAATAGGTGCAAACCGGTAGAATCCCACCTCTGCAACCGTGTCAATCAGCTTCAATCAATCAACAAGCAAAGTCAATGGGAAAAGCTAAATTCTTTCAATAATGATGGGATTCACTAAATAACTAATAATTTGCTTAACAACGACAGCAAAAACATTGTAAGCTCAGGGGTGACTCACTTAACAGCTGCCTTGCTTAGCAACAGAAATTCTGGTCCCAAATGTTGGTGATAAGTCGAGAACTACCTGTATCGATCTCCACGTCCTATCAGATGTATGGAGGGTGGAACCAAAGGTGTTTTTTCAGGAGGCAACTGGACTTTTTTTCGCATTTCCTTTGAAGACATTTCGCTTTTCTTCCAAGAAGCTTCTTCAGCTCTGACTGGATGGTGGAGAATGGAAGGATTTATATTCTTGGCAGACAACTGGTCATTTGCATCCTTTTAGAGGGTCGTTGAAGCACTTGGAGGTTTATCTGTTTGCCTCGGGGTCTCCTGGGTGGTGCAGTAGTCTGCAATCCTTTGAATGGGGTGGGAGTGGGAATGGATTTCAAGAGGGATTGCAGGCTACAGGAACCAGGAGCACCACTCAGGTGGCTCTGAGGACACAGATAAACCTCCAAGTGCTTCAACAACCCTCTAAAAGGATGCAAATCAGTGGTGGTATTCAGCCGGTTTGCACCGGATCAGGAGAGGGCGGAGCTGGCGTCGCGACGATACGGCATGCGATCTCGAATGTCTGAGATCGCAGCCGATATCTTTGCCCCTGGACGGTCCAAACGGATCTAAACCGTCTCGAAGAGACGGCGAAAGTGAAGAGCGCATCCTGTAGATCCCAGGGATACCGCAAAGTCCCTGGTAGATCCAGGAGAAGCTCTTCTTGCCAGCGGCAAAGAGGCAGCCATTAAAGCTGCTGAAGTTGAGACAGCTCCGAAACGGAAGGATGCAAATCAGTGGTGGTATTCAGCCGGTTTGCACCGGATCAGGCGGTTTGCACCGGATCAGGTAGCAAGGTAGAAAGGATAGCAAGGTAGCAAGGATTTGGCGTGGGTTGACGAATCAGTAGTAAGTTCTGGCTGGCCACGCCCCCGACCGTTCTCTGGCTCACTTGCCCCGCCCGCCCGATGCTTGCTCACCCCGCCCACCTGATGCTCACTCACCCCGCCCTCCTGACGCTGGCCCCTTAAGGTATTTCTTTTTTTCCCCTCCCAACGATCAGCTGTTCATACAATCAGCTGTGCCAGGGTTCCCCTTGCTGAGGCCCAAAAAACTCCATTTTTTCCCCCTTCCTGAGTCTCAGAGGAGCCTTCTGGGAGCAAAAACACCCCCCAGGAGCTCTTTTGAGGCCCAGAAGGCCCAAAAAATGGGTGTGGGGGCGGGACTGCAAAAAAGCAAAAGTGAAAAGCCATGCCCACCCATTCACATGGCCACACCCACCTAGTCACATCCACAGAACCGGTAGTAAAAAAAATTTGAATCCCACCACTGATGCAAATGACCAGCTGTCTGCAAGGAATATAAATCCTTCCATTCCCCACCATCCAGTCAGAGCTGAAGAAGCTTCTTGGATGAGAAGCGAGACGTCTTCAAAGCAAAAGCAAGAAAGTCCAGTTGCCTCCTGAAAAAGCACCTTTGGAACAGCCATGACCTGGATGACTGAGAATCTCTACAAACATGGAAGGTGGAAGTTTTAGGGGAACAATCTCTTGAGGCTGATCACTCCCATCCTATAAGTTGCAATGTTCAACAGTGCTGTTGTTCCTTACCACGATTGTTGAGCCTCTGACGAAAGGAATAAGCAGGACTGGTGAAGCGGGTGTAATCATGGCTGACAAATCCAATTGTTGGAGGTAAGCTATAATATCCAGGTCCAGGACCTAAGGAGACATGGGAACATTTTATTATTTTTATTTTTCTGTATTCTTCTTCATTAACTTCATGATCATGAAGAGCCGTGGTGGTGCAGTGCTTACAATGCAGCGCTGCAGGCCAACTCATTGCTCACTCTAGGAGTTTGATTCTGACCGGCTAAAGGTCGACTCAGCCTTCCGTAGCAATAGCAATAGGATTTACACTTATATACCACTTTACAGCCCTCTCTAAGCGGTTTACAGAGTCAGCATCTTGCCCCCAACAATCTGGGTCCTCATTTTACTGACCTCAGAAGGTCGGTAAAAGATTGTTGGGGTCAAGATACTGATTGTCAACTCAAAATATTCCTATGCTTGTTTTAGTAAAATCACCAAACCGGTAGTTACACTGGTTGGATCCCACCCCTGCTGATGCCTTAACCATTATACATCAAACGGGATATTAACAAGACACCTCAAAAACCAGAGATTTTCAGAAACAATCATTTTGAACAGGGCTATAGAAGACTTCTCTTAAATAAAGATAATTATTTATAATGCAATGCATCTAACTAACAACGAATCCCTGGTCCTGTTTACGAAATATACAAAAGCATGTTTGCTTAACCCACCCCTGGTTGGATTTAGAAAGACACTAAGCAACAAACCATGGTTTACATTCCACATAGGCTATTTTCAATCACCACCTCACCCTAAAGTATAATCACCCCTTTTCCCCCCGACCTGTCTCCAAGGCTGCAAACTGTGGGGATTTCTTTGGCGGAGAGTCTTCCATCTTGACCCCACAAATTTCTTCGATGAAGGAGAGCTGGTCTTCTTTTTCCGCTTCTCCCACTGGCCCCTTCTTTCCCACCAAAGCCACTTAGGAATGAAGGCCAACCATTTTTCGCAATAGAAGGGACAAGCAAACAAACTAACAAGATGTCCTCTCCAAACCAACCAACCCATTCAAAAGAAAAAAAAAAAAGAACGAATTTATACCACCCAAAGCAAACTTGGTGGGGAAAACAGTGTCTGGGGAACCTTGGAGCAGTGAAATATAACTCCGTGGGGAGTGTTCTTGGAGATAAAAAGATGAGCTGTAAGCAGAGCCGCAGCAGGTGGTCAAAGAGGGACTCTCGGTGTCGATTATTCTTTTTCCATCCGGTCAGAAGACAGCTCACATAAAGCCAGTAGACTGTTCAGGCAGTGGTAAATTTGCTGGGAGGGGATTTTTGAGGTATGGATCCACTAAAAACAGCCCTGGGTTATAACTGTTTTATTCAGCCGTTAAGAATCAATGGATTAATATATTGCATTCATTTTGGTCACCACACTATAAAAAAGATGTTGAGACGCTAGAAAGAGAGAGGATTCTGGAAGTTGAAGTCCATATATTGAGGCTGCCAAGGTTGAGAGATCCTGGTAAACAATTAACTCAATTGCAAAAGTTCATAGCTTGAATCCTAGTAGAGAGCTTGCACCCATAAAATAACGTCTGACAAGTCCCAGTAAGGAAAAAAGGGGGTAAAGTACCCTGTTTACCTGAAAATACAACCTACCCTGAAAGTAAGTCCTAGCTTGATTTTTACATGTGTGTCCAATATAAGCTCTACCCCCACAAAATAAGCCCTAATTAAGGATCCCACCCACTCCAAAGTGCACGCGTAAAAATTAAGCTAGGGTGGGGATGTGGGCGGTGGAGACACCCTACTACTTACCTTTGGACAGTTGTAGCCAGGCCTCGCACCCCCCGACACCTGCCTCGCCGGCCCATTTCTTCTGAAGCTGGCAAGGCGGGCTCTGTTTTAGTGGGTCTTTCACACTTGGGAATATTGAGCTTCAATAAGGATAGTCATAGTCCCATCAGATAAAAGGTAGATAATTCCTCCCCCATTCCCCAATGGTTTCATTTTGATAAGTCCTGGAGCGGTAGGAAAAAAAAGCTCATAAAATCAGGTTACTCGTGTGACCGAACCATTTTACAACTGTTAGGAATTATGACTATAGTAGGCAGGCTCTAAGAACTACCTGTACTGGAATAATTTGAAATCTTAGGGGTTATTGTGAACTGCCTAAAGCTATACCCATGGATGTAGTCACATCCACCCCTTCAGTTTAGATTGCCTGGAGAAATATTCTCTTCACTACCTTGTGAATTACGTTTTTGGATTTTTTCCAAGGTTCACATCAGCTCTTACATTAAGCTGTGTATCTGTGATTGGCTGAGTTGCAGTGGTGCCCTTTTATTGTTTTAATCTTGTTTGTTTTAGCTGCTTCCATTTCCAGTAGTCTAATACTTCTTGATAACCAGTTTCTGCTAGCTGGGTAAAAAGTTTTTTTGTTTTTTTTAATGGCTGGAACTATCTTGAAAAGTGAAATCGTATATTTTTAGCAGCTAAATTCATCCATTCTGGGTCACATTTGTTCTCCTTTCACTAATGCAGAGTACATTAAGGTAGAATGCAAAAACTGCATTAAAAGCTAAAGAATTACCAAAGCAGCCCTTTATAAAAACAAATTATAGTTTTTTGTAGAGTGGTCTTTTGATTGAAATATGTCATGTTGGTGGGTCTACTAGCTTGACTCTTACACGAAGAACACAGACCACAGACTAGGTTCCTTCCTTATACTGAACCAGTGCATTGTGCACTACATGTGCTGAAAATGTCACTTTTTCCTGCAGGCCACATAACTATATAATTAGCTCTGTGATTCTCAGAAACTGAACATGTAACATTTGAAAGCACAATCCCTGGTAATGGAAGAAAACCTGAATTTATATAATTATAAATTGGAGTGGTTTTTTTTTTACTATACAGGTAATCCTCAAGTTATGGCCTTCATTCAGCAATCGTTCAAAGTTACAACAGCAGCGCAAGAAGGAACTTGCACCAGGCCCTTGAAGTTCTCTAGCCATTGCCGTATCCCTGTGTCAGGTGAACAATAGTTGGGTATTTGCCAAGCAGCTTGCACACTGGAACTGGAATAGAGGTTGCTAACAAGGTCAAGCCAATGAATAGGCATAGCAAGTAATCAGCCAATGAGGACTGTTTTGGAAAGTGAAACTAGAAGTAGCCTAGGCTGGAAACTGAAACTGAAAGTAGGCTACGCGTGGTTCTGTGTTTAGGTCTGTAGCTCTTCATTCTCTGCAGATGAAACTGTTTCTCTCCTCTTGTTTGCCTGCTGATCTATTGAAGATGAAACTAGCTTGCTTGCTGAAGACTGGAGCTCCGCTCTGAACTTGCAACATATTTCTGTTTGAGATTGCTCCATGTTGGAGAAATCTACAACTGGTTTGTAAAATCGACTTATTATGTTTATAAAGATGTGAAATGAAGCATCAGCCATCTGTGTTTATTTTTCTGATGCTGAATTATCCCTGCAAAAACTCTCAATAGGACCAGAAAAGAAGGTTGGGAGTTGTTTTTGGTCTCTTCCCCCACACCCTCATCCCTGCCCACTTCCCTGCACTCTCACACGTCACACTTTTCTCTCCCAGTCTCACTGAGACCACATAAACCCTGCGCTGTCGTTCCTTGGTTTTCCTGAGCTCACACCAGTTGTTCTGTACAGTCAATTAACATACTCGTAAACCCCGCGCTGCGATTGGCTAAAGCGCGCGGCGACCGGATTGGTCGAGCGAGCCGCACTGATTGGCCCGTTAAGAATCTCCCGCGATTGGTGGAACTAAGCGCGGGAGATTCGAAGCGGTGCCATTGGCCGCGGCCGCCGCGGCTTGGAAATAAAAAGCCGCCGCTTCTCCTTTCCAAGTTTAAGCTGTAACCGGAGCACAATAAAGAGCTGAAACCAGTCACTGACTCCGAGCTTCCTTCCTGCGCCAGACACAACACCAGTCATACAAAGTTTCATGTTCCCGGCGCTAAGCCCCCCACAAAACCCTGTGGCACCCTCTGCTTCCACTTTCCACTTAACAAGCCTTCGGTTACAATGACAACTGGGACTCCCTGAATGGCTGTCACTAAGCACTACAATTATGTAACATGCTGTACAGCCACATTGCTTAGGGACAGCAATCCAGGACTACTCGAGGACTGTATATATTGTATGTCAGCATTTTTGCTCTTCAGCACATCATTCAACCATTGCAACTGTTTCTATCAAAAGGAATAACATAATAGTTGGCTTGGTTTATTTGCTTATTTATGCATTTATTTGAAGCATTTTGCTGTCTAGAGTCCTAGGCAATTCGGCATATTTCGTAAACCAGCCATTGTATCCTGTCAATAAGGGCTTATACCTTGTGTGAATTGATTCAGTAAATCTTGCCGTGTATGCGTGCATGCATATGTATGTATTCTCACTGCAAAATGACTCAAGCATGTTATATCAACTAAGCTTTACAGTTAAGGAAGTTGAAGAATTAACTTCAAAATGAAACAGAGCACACAATTGTATTTAATGTATTTAAATTTATTAGAAACCACCCATCTCCAATGGACTCCTTCCAAACAAGAACCACCCCCTTATCACCCCAAACTTTTCTCTTTTCAGAAGAGAATTAAATTGAATGGAATATTGTCTGTTTGTTACTCCTGATGTTAATATTATGTTTACTTGTGGTTTGTAAGTAATGCATTAAAAATATATGTACTGGCTTTGGATAAAGGATAGGAATTGGTGGCCCCATTATATATAATGCAATAGTGTTGATTTTTCTTTTGGCTTGTGGGTTGCTCACCATCATGATGATAACAGAGGATAATTTTGTTCCTGGTCCAACAGAAGTTATAAAAAGTAGTTGGGTGGATAGATTGTATTTGGGGGGGAGCGGTGTGTGACTTTGAATCAGTCTTGACTCCTGGCAACTGACAGCACATCCCTCCATTTCCTTGCCAAGATTTAAGAAGTGTTTTGCAATTGCCTCTTACTAGGGCTGGGAAAAAGAGACTGGCCCAAAACCATCCATTGGATTTCAGGCATAAGGCAGGATTAGAATTTGCAGGCTCCTAGTTTGCAGCCTGATACCTTAACTACTGTACCAAACCGGCTCTCCTCTTGATGCCTTGGAGTCAATGTTGGAATAGTCCCTGCAGTTTTCCTGCAAGTTTTTTTTTTCAGAAGTGGTTTGCCATTGCTTGCTTCCTTAGGATTAAGAGCAGGGGTGGGATTCTACCGGTTCTGTCCGGCTCTGTAGAACCGGTAGCTCTGAAGAGCAGCAGACATAGAACTGGTTCTATGTCTGCTGCTGTTTTGGCCCACCTGCCCTCCCGGGCTCTTACCTGACCTTTATTTCCTGCTTTTTCAACCTCAGCTGACGTGCGAGGCACAGCTGTGGTTGAAAAAAGCAGAAAAAAAGTGCTTTTTCAAACGCTGCTTCCCTGCACGTAGCGCTGCTCAGCTGTCCAGGCAGCAAGCTGACGAAGATTTACACGCCCGCGCGGCGTGCAGGGAAGCACATCGTAAATTACCGAACCGGTAGTTAACCCTGTCGGATCCCACCCCTGATTGACAGTGACTGGCCTTAGGTCGCCCAGCTTGTTTTGTGCCTAAGGTAGGACTAGAATTCAGTTAACATTTCCATGGCATGGTACAGACAATCCTTGACTTACAACCATAACTGAGCCCCAAATTTCTGTTGCTAAGCCAGGCAACAGAAGTGAGTTTTGCTTCATTTTACAAACTTTCTTGCCGCACTCATTAGGTGAATCACTGCGGGCTGTTAAGATAGTAACATGGTTGTTAGGTAAATCTGGCTTCTCCACTGAATTTGCTGGTCATGAGGTTGATCACGTAACCCTGGGACTCTGCAATTGTCATAAATATGAACCTGTT